ATGAGTTTGAGGGTATGTATGTGATAGATAGATAGATATAGATAGATAGATAGATTAGATTAGATAGTAGATTAGATAGATAGATAGATTAGATAGAGAGAGAGGAGATAGAGAGAGAGAGAGAGAGAGAGAGAGAGAGAGAAGAGAGAGAGAGAGTGTTTGTTCTCCTCTCTCTCTCTCTCTCTCTCTCTCTCTCTCTCTCTCTCTCTCTCTCTCTCTTCTCTCTCTCTCTTCTCTCTCTCTCTCTCTCTCTCTCTCTNTATGTCTCATAATTAATTAATTACTAAACTTTCATTCAGGTTGTGTCATGTCATTCAGGTTGTGTCATTCGCCACGCGTGGGAAAAATACCTTGGACAAAATCAATATTGCCCCCTTTAGTAATTAATTAATTATCTCATAATTAATTAATTAATTATCTGTCTTCCTACTTTCAGCAAACAGCTCAATGACGAAGACAACCACGGCATCTTTGGCAAGTGTAACAACCCTAACGGCCACGGACACAACTACAAGCGTAAGTATGGTGCAATATGGTTCTTCCTTTACAACTCCTCGCATTTTTTTATCGGTAAATAAAAATAACTCGAAAAAGAAAAGAAGAAATAAAAGAAGAAGAATAGACACCGTAATAAGGTCGCACGCACAAAAAAAAAAAAAAAAAAAAAAAAAAAATGACACACAGGAAGCGCAATAAAACCGTTACGCTTCGAACAAGTTTAAAAAAAAAAATCCTCCTCAGGTAGTAAAGAAAGTTCGAATTAATTTTCAATGTGTTCGTAATACGATACTTAATGCCGCCTCTGCTAACATCACAACTTTACTTTAGTCACTATACATCAGTTATTCATTGATTAACACTCACGAATCACTAGAATAACCCCATTCAAGATAAACCATGTATTTATCCATTGAATTACTCACTATCAAATACGACTTTATGTACAGCCTTTTACAACAGACATGTTAGAGAATATAATACACATAATACACATTTAAATTCATTGAGACCGTATCCCTTGACTGTAAAGACCGTGTCACACTAGCACTTTTCCGTCAATTTTTTGACAATTTTATTTAACATAAATACAAACGTTCTCGAATATAGCTCTTGATCTGACTATGCTTGGCTTAAAAAGTTGACGGAAAAGTTTTTCAGACGGAAACGATCATTACCGTCTGACTGGAAAATCGACAACTCGCTCAAAATAAACAAAATTCCAGAAAATTGTCAAAAAAATTTACGGAAAAAGTGCTAGTGTGACGGCACTTTAACGAATCAATGTCACATTTATTAGGCGTGTTCACTGGTCCTAACCTTATCGGGTATCGCTACCGGCCGAATGGAGGCTCAAAACAAGGATCCTGGGAAGCATTACAGGTCAAGTAATTTGTCAGTTACGCAGTGTGTTTATATATATGTATATATATATATA